CAGCTAGACTGGCTGGCTAACAAGTCGCCAAGATTTTCCATTCTCTGCCCAATTTGCAAACACATGCAGTTGTGCCTGGCTTTTATGTAGATTTGTTTTGTTTTTGAGGCAGGATCTCATTATGAAACCCTGGCTGATCTAGAACTTGCTGTTTAGCTCAAGTTGGCTTTGGAACTCACAGAGATCTGCCTGCCTCTTTCTTTGGCCACCAGAGCCAGCTGCACTAGAGATCTGAATGTGGCCCTAATGCTCACACAGTAAGCGTTGACCCACTGAATCATCTCTCTGGTTTCAATCTCCCTTCATTGAAACCTATTGTGATACTCTGAGACTCCTCAATGGTCCTTGGCAATAATGGGAGGAAGTGTTAGGGTTTAAACAATATCTTCCATGGGTCCCAGACTGTCCTCAAATTTGACATGGAGCAGAGGATAATTTTAAACTTCTGGTCCTTTTTTTTTTTAATTCTTTTTGAGACAGGTTTCTCTGCATAACTACCCTGACTATCCTGGAATTTGCTTTGTAGACAAAGGCTGGCTTCAAACTCTCAAAGATCCATCTGCTTTTGCCTCCTGAGTGGTGGGTTTAAAGGTATGTGCCACCACTGTCCAACCTCATCTGATCTTTTGCCTCCATCTCTAGATTGCTGTGATTAAAGATGTGCTCACCAGGGGCTGGAGATATGCCTCAGGGGTTTAGAGCACTGACTGCTCTTCTAGATGACCCAGGTCCAATTCTCAGCATCCACAAGGTAGCTCACAACTGTCTGTGAGGGATCTGATACCTTCACACCAATGCACATAAAATAAAATTAGGAAAAAAAAAAAGCCAGCTGTGGTGGCACACACCTTTAGTTCCAGCACTAGGGAGCAGAGGCAGGTAGATCTCTGTGAGTCTGAGGCCAGTCTGGCCTACAGAGTTAGTTCCAGGACAGCAAGGGCTGTTACACAGGGAAACCCTGTCTGGGGGGGGGGGACGGGACGTGCTCACCTTGCCTGGCTTGTGCAATGCTGGGGATTGAACCCATGGCTTTACATAAACTAGTCAAGTTTTCTCCCAGTTGAGCTGAGCTATGTCTCTAGCCCAGGGTCTTTAGCATATCTTTTTGGGGGCCACAGTTTAACCCTCAAGAAGAAGAAAAAGAGGAAGAGGAGGAAGAAGAGGAAGAGGAAGAAGGAAGGAAGGAAGGAAGAAGAAATTGGGTGAGTGAAATCTGAAGTGGAATACTTTATGGTATAGAGAGGCAATCCAGCACTAGTGAGAAATTCTTCCTCAGAGCACTAGGAAGGCAGCCAGCCAATCTTCATGCAGAGTATCACCAAGTCAACCTTTTCACAAAGATTCCTCTGGATGGATGGAGCTGGGTGTGTATGGGTGGTGGTGGTGAGAAGACAGTGGAGTGACAGGTGATTGCAGCAGAGGCACAAGATAGTGTGACAGTTGATAAAGCTTCCACTTTACATCGTGGTGACGCACACCTTTAATCCTAACACGCTGGAGGCAGAGACAGGAGGATCTCTGTGAGTTCCAGGGCAAGTTCCAGGACAGCCAGGGCTACACAAAGAAATCCTTTCTGGAGAAAAAAACAAAATCCACCATCACAAACATAAAAACCCAAACCACTTCTACCTTGTAGATTAAAGCCAAAACAAACTAACATCAAACAAAACCTAAACACCGAGAGAAAGTGAAAAAAATTCATGTAATTCATGGACTGGGGATATTGTTAGCATGCAGGAAGCCCAGGGTTTTATCTCCAGTACTGCATATAACTGGTTGGGGCCAATTATCCCAGCACTTAGGAGGTTGAGGCAGGAAGATTAGGAGTTAATGGTTATTCTGTCTCTAAAATAAGGAATTAAAACTGGCCTAGGTTATATGAAATTTTGTTGTGGATGGGCGGTAGGAGGTGGGAATGGTGTGGTATAGGGGGTGGTGGGAGGTAGAGGTAGGAAGTGGATAAAGAACCTACCTGAACCCACAGCTTCGAGCCTGCTAGGCAAGAATTTTACTACTGAGCTACATACCCAGCTCTAGGCTGGACTGTACACATTATATACATAGATTGTTAAGCAGAATGAATCCTCAGAGCCAGGGCCCTTCTAGTGGCTGTTAGAGTAACCGAGTCCCTGGCTGAATTAACTGAATTATCTGGGCCGGAGAGGTGGTTCAGTGATTAGGAGTACATAATGTGTGTCATGTGGCTGTAACCCTAATTCTAGTGGATCTGCCTCCCCAAGTGCTGGGACTAAAGATGTGCACTACCACTACCTGGCACAAGATAACTTTTTAAAAAAGATTAATTTAGTTTTTCTGGGAATGGTAGCTCATGTCTTTAATCTCAGCACTTAGGAGGCAGAGGCAGGTGGATTTCTGTAAGTTGGAGGCCAACTTGATCTACATAGAATGTTTTAGGCCAGCTTCAGTCCAACCTGGGCTCCATAGTGGGATTCTATCTCAAAAAACAAAAGATTTTTCTGTATATGAATGTTTTACCTGCATTATGCCTATGGTGATTCTGGGGATCCAACACAGGGCCTTATACTTGGACGGCAAATCAACTGAATTGCATTCTCAGCCACTTATCTTTTGAGACAAGGTCTCTTACTGAACATGCTGTTCACCATTCTCTGATTGGCTGGATGGGCTGGCCAGTGAGCTCTGGGGATCTGCCCATCTCCACTCACAATGCTGTAGGGACACAGATAAGGGTTGCCATGTCCAACTTTTTAACTTTAATTTTGTATGTGTTTAGCCTGCATGTATGTATATGCACCACATATGTTGATGTATCTGTCCCTGCCTCCTAAGTGCACTATTATCCTGGCCTCACACTCAGCTTTTTCACCTGGAAGCTGGGGATCTGTACTCTAGTACACGTTTGCACTCTGCCATCTGAGTTTCTGCTCCAATAGTCTCAAGTGATTTGACTTTGAACCTCGTTTCTTGATTGTCATCATTGTTTGGGTGGCTTTTTTTGTCATCCTTTGTGGCCATAACCTTGGTCTTCCTTGCTGTTGGGGGAGGACTAGGGTGGTGATAGGGGTAATATGGCTGTGTGTGAGAGGCTTCATAGCAAGGCAATGATGGTTAATCTAGGCTGGACAGAGACTTGCATAGGAAATTTAGCACAATCTGAGTGTCTGTGAGGTACACAGTGAGACCCAGTACAAAAAAAAAAAAAAAAAAAAAAGTGTGCACTCACTTTCATCTTTAATCCCAGCACTCTGGAGGCAGAGGCAGGGTGATTTCTGTAAGTTCAAGGCCAGCCTGGCCTACAGAGCAAGTTCTAGGACAGCCAGTGATATGTACAAAGATCCTGTCTCAAAAATAAAATAAAAAAATGGAAAAAGTGGAGAGGGCTCAGCAGGTACAAGCATGAGGACCTAAGGTCAGGTCTGCAGAACCCACAGCTGAACACCATAGTACAAATCTGTAATCTTAGCATTGCTACATTGACAAGGGAGGAGACAGTCTCCAGAAGCTTGTGGGCCCATTAGCTTGGAGAAATGAAGCAGGGAATAAGACCCTGTCTCAAAACATGGCTGAAGGTTAGTGAGAAAATTGAATTTTCTATAAAAGCTTGGTGCCAGAAGTTCCAAGTTCAATCCCAGGAACTCATAGAAAAATATGGAAGAAAAACAAGCTTGTTTCATTTAAATAAAACAACTCCAGGGAGGTTTTTTTTTTTTTTTTTCTTCTTCTTCTTCTTCTGAGACAGGGTTTCTCTGTATTGCTTTGGAGCCTTCCTGGAACTTGTTCTGTAGACCAGGCCGGCTTCAAACTCACAGAGATCCACCTGCCTCTGTCTCCCAAGTGCTGGGATTAAAGGGATGCAGCAAATTGTCCTGGAACTTACTCTGTAGACCAGGTTGGCTTCAAATTCACAGAAATCCATTTGCCTCTGTCTTCCAAGTGCTGGGATTAAAGGCACGTGTCACCACAGTCCGGCTGAAGATTCACACTTTTAATTGATGTATACATGCAGTTCCTAGCACATGTGTGCTTACACTCAAACAATTCTGTGTATGCACATATCCACAGAAATCATGGGATAACGCGGGCCTTTAAAGCTTTGTGGTTAAAGCGTGGAAGAGAAGTAGTCCTCTTTAATATCACATTATATGACTTAACAGGAATATTTTTCCTAAAAACAAGTTGTTAAGACTTGTTACATGTCTGTAATTACACCCTGGGCTACAGAAAAAGACCTTATTTAAAAAAAAAAAAAAAAAAAAAGTCATCTAGAATAAATGAGATTAAGCCAGCCATGGTGGATGGTGCGGCAAATTCCCAGCAATGAGCGGGTGAAAAAGGAGTGCCTCTCAGGGGTTAAGCCCAGTATGGGCTTCGAGATCATGTCTTCGGAAAAAAAAAAAAACAAAACAAAACCTAATCAACGTAAAAATATAAAAATTAAAAGCAAAACTAAACATGAGTGCGATGTTAGGTATTTATCGGTGTTAAGCTGAAACTGGGAACACCACACTCCAACGGTCATGGCGTCAGACTTCCACGGACCGCATCAGCCAGCATTACTGGAAGCGAGGGCAAGAACACCGGCATCTCATCAGGACACCGCTGCTTAGGAGGAGGCCGCACTGAGGGCCTCAGATGATCCTAGCACCCCATATCTTTGAAACCAAGATTCGGCTACTTCCTCCGGGCGACCTTGGACTTAGGGGCTTCCTCCGACTCATTTATTCCCTTTTGGGAGGAAGGAGTTGTTACTGTGGGGTGGAGTGTGCAGAAGGGAAGGCAGACTACCGTGTGTCCCCCGGCAAAAAGAGAAACTTGGGGTGCCTGCTCGATGACCGGAACCGTACGCAGTTCTGACTCGCGCGCGTTCTAAAATGAGGACAAAGCCCGCCCGGATCCAGAGCGCGCGCGCGGCAGCGGCCAATAAAATGCCAGGACAGTGGTGAGTGGCGGTTGGCTTCAGCCAATGAGAATAGTTCTTGTTACGAGGTGGTCCCCGGCTCCGGCATTATAAAGAGCTCCACGAGTTGGCATTGTCAGGCGGTGGCACCGCGCGGGACGGAGCTGAGGTCTGATCTGTGGCCTGTGTTCGCCGGCAGCCGAGCGGGGCGACACCGTCGGTAGACGCGGCCGAGCTCCCGGGAGTGCGGGTGCGAGCGCGGCCAAGCCCGCGGCGCCTTCCGCGGCGAGTAGGGCCTCGCGGCGTCATCAGCGGCGAGGTGAGCGGCCGGGCCGCGGGCGGTGGGCGGGAGCTCGGGGAGTGCCGCGGGGCCTGACGTGCCGTCGCCGCTCGTTGCAGGAGCCGCTGCGGCCTGGCCGACCATGTCGGACGCGGCTGAGGAGCAGCCCATGGAAACGACGGGCGCCACCGAGAACGGACACGAGGCCGCCCCCGAAGGAGAGGCCCCGGTCGAGCCCGGTGCCGGGGCACCGGCCCCCGCAGCCCCGGCCGCATCTGGGGGCGGGACCACGGCCACCCCGAGCGGGAACCAAAACGGCGCCGAGGGCGATCAGATCAACGCCAGCAAGAACGAGGAGGACGCGGGGTAGGTGCGGCTGCGGGCCGCTGGGCCGCCGCCTTTGTTCCGGGGCAGCCTTTTGTTGGCGCCACGCGGCGGGGGGAGGGGCGGGCGGCCCGCCGAGCGGTGCCTGGCGCGCTCGCCGGCGGGCCCAGGCGCAGTTAGGCGCATTGGAGTTTGCAGGAGTTTGCGGGGTCGACTTTGCGGCCGCTCTGGGCTGCTCGTGGGGTGCCTAGACTGCAGCGGGCCTCGGCGCGGGAGGCCCCGGAAGAGGAAAAGCGGCCGACCTCGAATCGGGCCGCGAGCGCTGCGTCTGGGTTGCGTGGGCGGAGTTGGCGCGCGGCGGGCCCGGCCTAGCCTGCCTCGGGTCGAGGGGCGGAGTCAAGGCCTGAACCCTGGGGCGGTTTCGGCCCCAGGAAACCCAGAGTTCCTCGGGACCAGTTCTTGGGAGGCGGGGAAGAACGGAAAGGGAGTTCGCTTAAACTCTGGAGTGCGGAACACGCTAATTTAAATTTGTGAGGGGTTATGGGTCACGTTTGTGACCAGGTTGGCCTTTTTCCACACTGTGGCTATACAATCTATACAATCAGCTGTGAATTCCAGTTGAGTCGAGGTGCCATAGTAACACAGGAGGGATCGATCAACTTGAAAAAGGGGGCGCCAGCTCAGACTGGGCCATGTCTCGGTGGCTTCACCAGCCCTTGCTAGGAAAGTGTATCCGGGTCAAACTTGTAAAAATCACATCCCACTTCTAGATTTGTTGTTGTCTTTCAGAAAAATGTTCGTTGGTGGTCTGAGTTGGGATACCAGCAAGAAAGATTTAAAGGATTATTTCACTAAGTTTGGAGAGGTCGTTGACTGTACAATTAAAATGGATCCTAACACTGGACGATCAAGAGGGTTTGGGTTTATCCTATTCAAAGATTCTTCCAGTGTAGAGAAGGTAAGCTGGGTGTTAGTAGAAGTCTCTATTAGGATTCTGAGCCCTAAGGAACTCATGGGCACTGTAGTGTTTGACAGGGACAAAGAGATTAAATTCTTGTTTTGAGGCATAGTACAGATTAAATGGGTTATGTGAGGGAGTGATTCTGGAGGATTACTACTGCTCATACTATTTTAAAAGCTTATTGCATATCCTGCAGGAGGGCAGTGAGCTGGAGTCTGCCTTCAGTCCTCCCTTAATTTTTTTATATGCCTATTCACGGGCTTGGTGTTAAATATTTTACTGTGATTGCTGTGAGGATAGATTTTTTTTTAAATACAATTTGAATGGGGATGGGACCCCAATTTCCAAATCTCAGAGATGTGGAAATGAATTTATTTACACAGGATGGAGAGTGTTCTTTGTCACTGCTTTAATGAAAGGAGGTCTTAACCAGCTCTACTGGTTAGTGTAGAGCCTGGGCAGAGGCTAGTGGGGTTTGTTTGGCTTATCGGGTTTTCAGGTGGTCCTCATATTGGAGGTTTGGAGAGTTAGAAAGTCAATTTGGCTTCGTCCCACCCAGAGAGAATTGTGTTGGATTGAACTTGACATAATTCTGTTTTACACAGGTCTTGGACCAGAAGGAACACAGGCTGGATGGTCGTGTTATTGACCCTAAAAAGGCGATGGCCATGAAGAAGGATCCTGTGAAAAAAATCTTTGTGGGAGGTCTGAACCCTGAAGCCACAGAGGAAAAGATCAGAGAATACTTTGGCCAATTTGGGGAGGTGAATATGGCTTCTGTTTTCTTCCTGCTCTTTGACCTTGTTTGGCCAGAATATTAGGGGTTTTTCACCTTTTCAGTGGTCTTTCCTTGGCAGGCTTATATGTTCTTGGGTACCAGAGGTTAAAACCTGAGTTTTGCTTATGTTTTTACAGATTGAAGCCATTGAGCTTCCAATAGATCCCAAGTTGAACAAAAGACGGGGTTTTGTTTTTATTACATTTAAAGAGGAAGACCCTGTGAAGAAGGTTCTGGAGAAAAAGTTCCATACTGTCAGTGGAAGCAAGGTAAGGTGTCAGAACTGCTTCACCTGCTTTTGGTTCTTTGAGGTGTAGATTAGCTACTGTAAGAACCTTCCAGGAGCCAGGCCTTGATGGCACACGTCTTTAATCCCAGCACTCAGAAGGCAGAGGCAGGTGGATCTCTTGAGTTCGAGGCCAGCCTGGTTTACAGAGCAAGTTCCAGGACAGGCTCCAAAGCAATACAGAGAAACCCTATCTTGAAGAAAAAAAAAAAAAAAAACAAAAAAGGCCCTTCTAGGTTATTAACACCTTACTCTATAGTACACAATGCTGATTAAAGCAGCAGTTCTTTAAAGAGAAGCTGGGCTGGTTCAGTGGCTAAGAGCACTAGCTCTGAGGAAGACCCTGGCCCATTCATTCTTAGCACCCATGTTGGCTCATAACCACCTGGAAGCATGTAACTACAGTTCAAGGGCTCTTAATACACTGGTGTTTATAGATACCATATATTGTAAGTCCTAGGCACATTAATAAAAACTAAAATGGGTGTAAAGGAGGCAAAGAAGAAGCCAGGCTTGTGAGAGTAGAGTTGCTGACTAGATTCTTTGGTGCCTAGTTTTATTTAGTGTTAGGGATGATAATGTACAGTCCTGAGGTTATGAGACATGCAGTGGTCTTAGATTCTAGAGCTCAGTAATTTAGAATATTTACATCAGTATTGGCTTTTTCCTGTTCCAGAGTTTGTCCCAGGTGGGTGTGCTTTAATTTAGTAGGCTCTACTATAGGCCTAAAAAGACCTAAAAAGCTCGCTGGATTCCTGGAAGTGGATTGCAAATGTGGAGTCATGTTTAGTGAAGTACTAGGTTTTTGAGTTGGTTAGGATAGGTGTGGCACTGGCTGTAGTTTACTGGAAAACTGGAGTGGCCACCAGATAAGGTAGGGTGAGGCTCTGGAAGGTTCTTGCCCTTCTCATTGGAAGTTTTAAAAGCTTGGGTTGGGGATTAAAGCAGACAAGTGGGGCATTCTTAGTTATTCCAGTGGACAGTGATATTTTCCTTTTTTGGTGTTCCCTAATGTAAAATAGGAAGAGCCTTGAGCCCTCTATGGTAGTGAAAACTGCTGCTGGTGAGCTGGCTCAGAGGTTAAGTGCACTGGCTGTTCTTCCAGAGGTCCTGAGTTCAATTCCCAGCAACCACATGGTGACTCATGGCTATCTGTAAAATGACATTTGGTGCCCTCTTCCGGTAGGCAGGCATTCATGGAGGTAGAACACTGTATATATAATAAATACGTAAAGAAAAAGTAAACATTCAAATTACTCGGTCTTTTTTCCCTCACCCCTTTGAGATAGGGTTTCTTTGTATAGATATGACTATCCTGGAATTCTAAACCAGGCTGTCCTACTGAGTGATGGGATTAAAGGTGAATGCCACCACCACCTAGTTTACTCAGTATTTTTAATTCATTAAGATAAAATAAGACCAAGCTTGATAATATGCATTCTCCTACCCCCTTTTGAGACAGCATCTTACCACTCTTCCATGGCAGGACTGGAACTCTTTGTAACATGCTAGTCTCAAACTTGGAAGGAAGAGTTTTGCTTGCTTCTGCATCCCAGAATGAGCTGGGATTATTAGTTTTATTATTAGTTTTACTTTTTGTATCTTATCACTGCCCTTAGAAACATACCATTAAGTAACATTTACATCCCCTTCAAAATTCTTAGGCATGAAAGTGAGTCTGATTGGGTCCTGTTCAGATTTAGATGTGAAGCTTATCTCAATGGACCATGCTTAAAGAGGAGGGTAGCAGTGTGGCTTCCAACAATGCCTCACACTTGACTTTTGGCTTTATCTGTAAGGTGGAGGTCAGCTTGCCGTCCTGTTACGAGTATTTGAGTAGGATGAGTACCTTCTGTAAAAAGAAGAGTAAAAAAACTTAGTACTGTGGCCCTGGCAAATTCTGACCTTGCCCACTATGGTTAGCTCCTCCAGTTTGACATGTTTTCACCCCCAAACTTGTAGTTTTAGTTGTGGTTCTAGAAGCTTCTAGGTCAGATGTGGTTTCCTCCCCTTATCTGAGTATTGGCTGTAGTAGATAGAGGTCTTTGTAGCATCCCAGCCCTGATCTGTCCCACAGGACTTGACACAGTGTCCTATTGGCTTTTAGTGTGAAATCAAGGTTGCCCAGCCCAAAGAGGTGTATCAGCAACAGCAGTATGGCTCTGGGGGACGAGGAAACCGCAATCGAGGGAACCGAGGCAGTGGTGGAGGAGGTAAGTGGAAGCTGGATGAAGACTTTCCCTGCCTGCAAGGAGCTTTCTGTGGCTGCCTTGGGATTGCCTCTTGGTGTTCTGTGCAGTAGGGGTGGGTGGACTGGGTGTGAAGTGGGCACAGCTCAGGGATGTGAGTGGTTTTCCTGGGTGGAGGCTGTGTGCTTATGCTGCTATGGCTCATGGCTCCATGGACTGAAAGAGCCATATCTTTCCTCATTGTGCAGCATGGGGCCCCAGGCCAAGGGGACATTTTCATTGCACTGGGAGAATAATGGGGGCACAGTGGATTGTGCTTAGCTTTGTGGCTGTCCTGAGTCTTGGTACACACATACCTGTGGGCAGAAAGGCAAAGCTGTGCCAGGCGCTTAGCTCCTTCCATCCCAGGCCCCTCTAACTCCAAAGCCTGAACTGCATCTTTTTCAAGGCAAAGCTGCCAAGGGAGGGTGGAGGTGATCAGAGGGTGATTTGAGTGAGTGTGAGTAAGCTTCCTATACTCCCAAGTGAAGTTACTGGCATCCTGGCCTCCTGGATTACAAGGCTGGGCCTAGGGGCCGTCTATACCAGAACAATAGCCTCATGGCTTCTACCTGAGTTGCCATAGTAACCCCGCCACCCAAAGGGCAGGATTTCCTCTATCCTAGCTCCTGCGTGTGCTAAATGGTCCATGGGCCCCTGTGCCCTGCTCCCCCCACAGGTCAGAGTCAGAGTTGGAATCAGGGCTACGGCAACTACTGGAACCAGGGCTACGGCTACCAGCAGGGCTACGGGCCCGGCTATGGCGGCTACGACTACTCGCCCTATGGCTATTACGGCTACGGCCCCGGCTACGACTACAGTAAGTAGGAGAGGGAGGCCCCATCTACTTCCTCCTAGGGGAGGCAGGTCAGATAGTGCAGAGGCCGCTGGCAGCAGGGGCTTTGGAGTCAGACAGGCCTGGTTCAGGCACTGGAGCTACCATATGGAGCTGGAGCTCTAGTTCAGCCTTCTCAGTAAGGTATGAGAAGCTGATGTTGCTGTGCAGAGGTTACATTGTGAGGATGAGGCAAGCGCCTGGCACTGGGTAAATGTACAGTTAAGTAGTAGCCAAAACATTGTTCTTATTCCTAGGTCAGGGTAGTACAAATTACGGGAAGAGCCAGCGACGTGGTGGCCATCAGAATAACTACAAGCCATACTGAGAGGCAGCAGGAGCGGCCGACTGACGACCGCACACGCTTTGTTTGGACGCGGAGTGAACACAATTATGTACCAAATTTAACTTGGCAAACTTTTATGGCCTGTCCCATGTGCATCTTATTTAAAATTTCCCCCGGAAATCACTCTCCTGTTTACTATTCCAGAGCTCTAGTTGTAGGCAGCGTGTGGCGTCTCAGAGGCCAGAGCGGCATGGGGGCTGATTTTATTACCAGGTTACCCTGTACTAGATTGGAGGGTCTGCTTCCTGCTGCCGCTCTGCAGCCTGGACCTGTGGACCCTGGTTGTAAAGAGTAAACTGTATCTTAGGAAACCAGTGTCACCTTTTTCACCTTTTAATTTTATATTATTTGTGTCATACATTTCCAGTAATGGAAGTGTTAATTTTACTGTACTTTTTGGTACCTTTTGGGAATCTAATGTATTGTAAGGTATTTTACACGTGTCCTGATTTTGCCACGACCTGGATATTGAAGCTATCCAAGCTTTTGAAATAAAAATTAAAAAACCCCCACGCCTGGGTGAGTGTGGGATGCTCTGTGAGACCTTGCCCAGTGTTGGAGGTGCTAGATACTCTTGAGACTAGGGTCTCCTGTAGCATGGTCCTTCAGCTGTTTGTTTACCCACCTGACCTTTCAGCTACCATTTTGTTTCCTTAGCCTCTATATCTAGAGAACATCTTATGTATTACTATGCTCTAGATCCTTAGTTTATTGCCCAGTTTATCAAGCAACTGCAAGTTGAAGTATTGGTATATCCCCTGGTTGAGGTGGGCACAAACATAAGTCCTGCTTACCTGGAGGGTGTTTGACTGAGTTGGGCTGGATACTCAGTGTTTCACAACTCCTCAGTTTTTCTTCCATGTCTAGAAAAGAGACCACAGATCTACCCTACATTATTATTCCCCATTCAGTTTCTAGGATGCTTGGGATTTGGGTCTCTACCCAGGCTTGCCTCACCATTTCCCTAACACAGATGGTCCCATGTATGAACCCAAAGCAGTTCTGTGTAAGTTCTAAATCATTCACACATAAAACTCCTAGAGCTGTACCAGTTTGAAACATCCACTAGGGATTGGGCTTAACTAATTTAACACTTAAATGGAAGGCATAGTTTCCTTATTGGTTGTTTCTATGTAACAACCACTTTGGTGTACTGTTGGTAGTTTCCTTAAATAGAGGGAGACCTTGGTCTGCCTTTGAATGACCCTGAGTGATGGGGAGAATTTCATTGCAGTCAGCCATTCATTTTAGTCACTCAGCAGTTGAGGGTGTCCCCCATTTTTTTTTTTTGAAGATAAAATGAAGTTCTAGTCATTAAAGGTATATGCACCACTGGCCTGGCCTGACTTGAGCACTTTTTTTTTTTTTTAAATATAAGGCAGCCCAGGATTATCTTGAATGTCATGTGCCCCATTTCACCTATCAAATGCTGTTATCACAGGAGGTTACCACCATGCACATTCCACATTGATGCCTGTCAGTGCATGCCATACTTTTGAGCCTCCTGACATACTTGGGCTTATCTTGTTACGGGCTCCCTGGTACATGATGGGAGGCTCTAGCTACTAGCATTACATAATTGTGTTGAGGATCAAACTCAGGGCCTGATCATGCTAGATGGGTTCTATCCAGCTTACCTGTTAGAATGTCATCAAGCTTTGATACTACATGCTGTGCATTGTCCAGGTTGAAACACATTGGAGGTTTGAACTTCAGGACATTCCTCCCAGGGCCATCTGTGCTCAGTAAAATGTAGTTCTCCTTCAGCCTGTAAGAACAATACACTTTAAAAAAGTCTTGGTTCTCTGTCTTATCTGAAGATAAAACAGGCAGGTACCCACCATATTTTAGATCTGACCAATTAATTGGTCCCCAATGTCTGTTGTGTCAAGCCTACCACTCAACAGTGTAAGCCTCTGCTTCCTGAGTGCTGATTAAGGGTATGTACCATCCTTCAGTTCCACAAGGTTTTACTAAGTTGCCCAGGCTGTCCTTGAACTCACCTGTGGACTAGGCTTTAAAGACTCTTAATAATCCAGCTATCATATCAACATGCCTAGAGGAACCCTGTCTCAAAACCCCAAAAAACCCACCATGCTCACCCAGTTCATTATCTAGTGTGGGTGTTGGTGACAAGAGTGGTATAAAATGATTATATTCTTTTTGATTCCCCAGTCTTTGTCCCAGAAAGAAAAATTGAGTCAGACCCAGGACAAAACTCAGCTCTGTTTAGGATGACTAGTTAAGAAGACTAGCCTGGGCTCTGGCTTTTATACCACCAGACAATCTGATCCTCACTGGCTGAGGCCAGTTAGTTACTATTGAGTAGGTAAATTAACACATTTTACAATGTTAATAGAGGCACATTCAAACCCAGGGGTTTTCATGGTTGGACTAGGTCTGATATTAGGTGTGGGATTTCTCAGGCTTTCAGCCAAGGATTAGGACCCAGAAAGCTGAAGACTCATTGCTCTAGTCTACACAAGAACCCTATTTGGGCAAGGCAACTCATTTACCTGGAGACCAAGTATTCAGCTTCTTCCGTTGCTGGTGTCCTCAAGGTTTCATCTTTGATCAGATCCACACCAATGAAGAGCCCAGTGCCCCTGAATGAAGGTGACATCTATGGTCTTTGCCTCACTCTGCCCTGAGCCACCTCCTTCACCCTGGGGAGTGATCCTAATGGGGCTGGAGGAAGGCTCAGAATCTTCAGAATCAGTTTTTTCTAGAGTGGGTGTAGAGTTTTCATCCCAAGGTAGGAAGATGGGAAAATGCTGAACCCTTAGCAAGTAGTGCCTGTTGGGTCCAGAACCTTACCTAACATCTCCAATGATAGGGTGCTTGGCTTTCTGCTGGCTGAGGTGCTCCATTAGGAAACTGCCCACATTAGTGGCATGAGCCTGGAGTTGTTCTGTTTCCAAGACATCCAGGACTGCCAGCCCCACAGCACAGGACACTGGGTTGCCACCAAACTGAACCAAGGGACAGCAATGTCAGATGCTTTGCCAAAGGACCATGACTCCATGGAATTGCCACGGAAGAACAATTGGGAAGGCTATAGGCCCAAAGTCTTCACACTTAGGGCTGTCATTTTCATAAATTTGTCTCTTGGGGGGTAGGGTCTTCAACCCAGGCCATGAATAAGGTAAGCAAGAGACTTAGAACTGATCCAGCCCCTCTCCTGACCTCTATGGGCACCAGGCATGCACATGATACACAAAGACATGGGTAAGATATCCATCCAGACAAACCTTTTGAAAAGCCAAGCAGAAAGGGGATTGGTTCAGTTAGGAGTTTCTGTGTGCTAGGCAGTGGTGGCACACACACCTTTAATCCCAGCACTGACAGGGCAGGTGGATCTCGAGTTCAAGGTCACCCTGGTCTACAAAGCTAGCTCCAGGACAACAAAGGTTACACAGAGAAAGCCTGTCTTGAAAAAGTTACCGGCAAACAGGAAGCTTTGTGTCTAGAACTGCAAAAAATCAGGGATGGCTCATGTTTGTTATCTCAGTATTTGGGAGTTAAAGAAAGGACAATCAGGTCCCCTAAGTATGGGGTTAAAAGACAACTTGAGTTCAATGAGACTTTCTCCAAAAAAAAAAAAAAAAGTCTTTGTGGGAGGATGAATAATAGGTAAGACCATTTGCTACTACTGTACATATGAGGATATAAATTAATCCCCAGCATTGGTATAAAAGCTGGGCAGAACTGCAGGAATCTAATCCTAGCAGTGGGGGTGGGTAGGGGTGGAAGCAGGTGTTTACAGAGGGAAAGATTGAGCTTTCATATTCAATGATACTTGCCTAAGTCAGGGAGAAAGCTGTAGAAGTGAGCACCACCCTCTTTTGACCTTCACATACCATATACCATACAGTAAAAACCAAGATGGCTTGTAAGGCAAAGTGCCTGCTGGGATTGTCTGATGACCCATGTATGTGCTGTGGAACACGTGCAGGTCCTCCCAACCCCTAGTACATGCAAAGTAACAAACTACAAAGCTCAAACTCATCCCACCTGTACACTGAGGTGGGATTGTTTGAGCCCAGGTTTCTGGGGATATCTTTAGCAACAGTGATAATCCCCTCCAGTGCCAAAATCAAACTTAACAAAAAACAACAAAAAGAAAGACTTAGGAGACAGAAAGGAACAAAAATATTTGAAAATGCTGTTAAGAGTCTGATAGAATGGTTTACTTGTCTCAAAAATTGTATGCTGGAATCATAACTCCCATTATAGTGGTATTAAAAAGTAGGGTCTGAGCTTTGTTGGCCCATGACTTTATTGCCAGCACTCGGGAGGCGGAGGTAGGCAGATCTCTGAGTTAAAAGCCAGCCTGGTCTACAGAGTGAGTTCTATCTAGGACAGGCTCCAAAAGCAATGCAGAGAAACCCTTTTTTTGGGGGGGGGGTTGTGGGGGGGAGTACGGCCTGGCTGGGTGGTATTGTCTTTTTTTTTTTTTTTTTTTTTTTTTTTTTTTTTTGGGTTTCTTGAGACAGGGTTTCTATTGTAACATCTCTGGCTGTCCTGGAACTAAACTCTGTAGACCAGTTTGGCCTCTGCCTCCCTGAGTACTGTGATTAAAGGCGTGTACCACTATTGTCCAGCAACTTTAATGTCAGCAACACGAGGCAAAAACAGGTGGATCTCTTGAGTTTGAGGCCAGCCTGGTCTACATAGTTCCAGGCCAACTAGGGCTGTATTGTCAGACCCTGTTTTAGAAAGTTTATGTGCAGGTGCAGACCATGTGGATGTGGTAGATGTTCTTAGACATCCATCTTGTTTTTTTGTGACAATCTCTCACTAGGACCTGGAATAGACCAATAAGACTATTGCTGGCTGTCTCACAAACTCTGCCTCCCAGCTGTGATATTATAGGCCTGTGCCACTAAGCCTGGCTTTTTAAATGGGATCTGGGATTGGATTTGGTCCTCAGGTTTGCAGGGCAAACTATTATGGACTATCTTGTCAGTCCTTTATTTAAATTGTGTGGGAGGAGAATAAGACACAACCTAAGGGATGTAGCCTAGTGACAGTATTTGGGCTTTGCCCTGATCTATAAAAAGATGTTTTTGTGGGGCTGGCTGGATCAAACCAAGGGCCTTGTGCCTGCTAAACATGTGCTCTACCACTTAGCTACACTTCCAGCCCATAGACATCACTGTAGATAAGTATAAACATTCCTGTACATTGGACAACATGCTTAATGCTTTATATGTTTGCCCTGTATTACAAGTCCCTCCCACCCAGGATATTAATTAAGACAGCTAATTTTACATAGGATTTTTTTGAGTACAAGCAACCGTCCCCCCAAAAAAAAAAGACAAATTGGATCATCTAAAATGTATTTTTTACTTTATCTTTTGAGGTAGGGCTTCACTGTGTAGCCCTAGCTGTCCTATAACTATTATGTATACCAGGCTGGCCTTGAGTTTAGCAGTCCATTGCCTCTGCCTCCTGAGCGCTGGAATTAAAGGTGTGCACCACCATACCTTGCTTTCATATAAAATTGTAAAAATTTTTGGGTCAGTGAAATGGTCAGGGAGCTCAGTGGTTAAGAGCCAGATGTGCAAGTATGATGACGGGAGCTTGGTCCCTGGAATCCAGGTACCAAGTAGCTGGTAGCCTTTAATCCCAGAATTTGGGAAGCGGAAGCAGGAGGATGTCAATGAGTTTGAAGCTAGCTGGTCTACATAGTGAATTCTAGCTCAGCCAGGGCTACATAGTGAGACCTGTCTCATAAATACATAAAGGAAGTGAAGGCTGCTGCCAACTGGGTGCACATACTCACAGTATACACTATTGGCAGGACACTAATCTCAGTCTAGAGAGGTGTACTTGCATGGATATCATTCACAGAGCACACAGACAAATGCATATACACAAATTTCTACAATCACTAGCAATGTAAGAAAGGAAGAAGACACAAACTAGCATTTTACAGAAGAGCACACACATTGAACCGTAAACAGGAAGAGGACTTTGGAAGAGGCTCAGCAGGTAAGGACCTTATGTACAAGCCTGAAGTCCAGAGTTTGATCCCTGGGACCCACATTAGTGGAAGGAGACAACTGATTCCTGTAAGGTGTCTTCATTTATGTGCACCCAACAGGGTAAAATCTATTAAAACTCTAAAAAACAGGTGTTTCATAAAATCTGAATGTGGGGAATAGCATATTAGAACCATGTGGATCACCATTTTATATTTCCCTTGAGTGGTAAATTTTTTTTTTTTTTTTTTTTTTTAAGACAGGGTTTCTCTGTGAAACAGTCAGGCTGGCCTTGAAGTCAGAGCTGCCTGTATTTGCTTCCTGAGTGCTGGGAATAAAGGTGTGCACCATCATTGACTGCCAACTGGCAAAATTTTAAGAGTTGATGAGAAGTGGATCATGGAAGTGAATTTGTGTAATCCTGGCACTCAGCTGGGCCAGGAAGATTGCTGTCAATTTCAAGTCAGATGGATTATGTACCAGGCCAGCTAGGGGCTTTTCACAGTAAGACCCTCTCACAAATCAACAAATCCCAAACAATACACTACTGGTGAGCTATTTTGACCTGTGAACTACTTTGGAAAACATGTCATTATCTCTTAAAATTGAGTGTGGACACACCCTCTGGCCCAGCAATTCCATTTCTGGGTTAATTTGTAACTAATTTTTCTGTACATGGAGAATAGACTGTAGTACTGTTTATAAGACACAAGGAACAGCCTCATTGCACATCAGTAGGTATGGATGTTATAAAGCAGGGAAAACAAGTGAGTGACAATATAGATGGTTTTGTTAATATACTGTTAGGTGAAAAAATACTCATAAAATTCCCTAGAGTTAATGTGCATTATAAGAGCAACTAGAACAAAGAACATGAGTTCAGAATCACTAGTGAAAGGACAAATGTCTGGATAGATAGATGCTCTGCCTTCATGTCAGAAGAGGGCACCAGATCTCATTGGAGATGGTTGGTGAAAATTGAACTCAGGACCTCTGGAAGAACCATCTCTCCAGCCCAGGATCCTCATTTTTTTTATCTGAGGTGACTGCTTCTCATGGGTTTGTAAGTAATCAAATAGAGCTGGTGAGATAGAGCAGCAATTTAAGGTACCCATTGTCAAACCTGGTGGGCTGAATTAGATTCCCAGAACTCATGGTGGAAGGAACAAATGACTCCTGAAAGTTGTCTTCTGACTTCCACATGAGTAGGTGCATATGCACCCATACACAAATGAATAAAAATAAAAACCTGAGCAAAAATAGCCAGGAAGGTTATACAGAGACAACAAAGGCTGAATTTAGCTTAGGCACTCATGCCAGAATCAGACCCCATTTGGTCATCTGCCTTCCAGGTAACAACCCTCCCTCCCAGCTGGCTAACTGCTGCTCACCTACAGACTTTGCTCTTGATGTCTCTGTCTCCATTAACTTGTTGCTTAGCCCTGTGTCTACTTTCTTGGGATATCTCTTGTATTCTCACAGCAGACCTTTATATACTGTGTCCACTAAGCTATGCTCTCCAGTGTCCCATTCAAGTCTAGGAGTGTTTCTTGCCCTGACATCAAGCCCATCCAGGGCAGAGTAAAATCTGATAGTATCAGAGCAGATGTCACTCCCCTCCTCAGACTGACCCTCATTGCCTCTCTGACATCTTGCCAAGTGCTGACTTTCTTAAAAATTCAAATGCCAGGCCAGGTGGTGGTGGCACCTGCCTTTAATCCCAGAACTTGGGAGCAGCTACACAGAGAAACCCTGTCTCAAAAAAAAAAAAAAAAAAAAAAAAAAAAAAAACCCCAATGGCTTTTTGTGGAAATCATGGTGTGTACTCAAGTCTGTCCCTACTCCTGGTCAGATTCAGTCTCCTGACTCCACCTTTTTCTCTATGCTGGTGTCCAGATTTTTCCAAAGTAGACCTTAACCTTTCTATGAAGGAAACCCCTTCCTTGGGAGTCAGATGTAGCTCAGTGGCAAAGTCTTTGCATAGCACTGATAGGCCTGGGTTTGCTCACCAGCACTTTGAAACAAGAGACAAAACAAAGCCAAGCAACACACCCCTTGCTTAGTTTTGCAGGATCATGGACTGTTGCTGTGATGGGAGGAGGCTCTGCTGAGGACCTGCTCCTGCTCCCACCCTGCACCTGTGGTCTCAGAGTCACCCATGCTGGGTATATGTGAGCTTCTGTTAGGGAGAACCTTGGCCTGTGCTCCAAGGACAGGGGACCATGCTCCACAACATGCTGTGGACTTTATGTCTCCCAAACCCACCAAAACACACTCCTCTCATTTAGAGTCTTTAGTTCTTTGACTCCAGCATCTGCCCGAAGGAAAGGGGTTCTTGCATTCTGTGTTTTATACCACCGTATCTGTGACAGCATTTGGATAATACTAATTTTTGTTTGTTTTTTGAAATGGTTTCTCTGTGTTGCTTTGGAGCCTGTCCTGGAACTCACTCTGTAGATCAGGTTGGCCTCAAACTCACAGAAATCCGCCTGCCTCTGCCTCCCGAGTGCTGGGATAAAAGGTGTGCGCCACCACTGCCTGGCTGATTAATACAAATTTTGAAAGATTTTTTAAAAATCTGACCTGGGCCGGGTGAGGGAGCACACACACCTTTGATTCAGAACTTGAAAGGCAGAGGCAGGTAGGTGGATCTCTGAGTTTGAGGCTAGTCAGGACTACCCAGTGAGTCTCTTAATGTCTGTCTGTCTACCTGCCTGCCTGTCTCTCACAAAAAACAAACACACCTGCCACGTGGCTTCCTGGAAGATGGTATTTTAGAAGTCTGCTGGGCGCAGTGGAAGCCCTAAAGCCTTCACTGACTAAGGACATGGTGAGTGAGAGGCCACTAATAGAGCCCTTGCCCTGCAGCTTTACTCACCGTGTTGAAGTATTCTACACCAGTGGCCTCAAATGCTCTTGACACAGCTTGGGTAGTGGCCACACAGGCAACAGGGTGGCCATTGCCGATAGACTTGCCCATGGTGACAATGTCGGGGACAAAGTTTTCCCCCTCCAGCTGAAAGGCCCAAAAGTGCTTGCCTACTCGGCCAAAACCAACCTGGATCTCATCTGCAACGAAGAGCCCTCCGGCCCTGCGAATATGCCTGTGGAGGATGGATAGCAGACAGGGCTGTGGTGAGAGAGACCAGTTGAGAAGTCCTGGGGTGGGATGCTGTGTCTTCACTTTGGGCAAATGGCTGGCCTTCTCTGAGCCATTATTTCTTTGAGGGTTTTGTTTCAGAACCTTCAGGCAGGTAAACCAGGTTGTAGGAATTTGGAATAGACTTCAAACGCAGTTAAAAAATTAAAAGCCTGTTCTCCCTTGGGCAGAGCCTCCCTGCCCCTTTACTCACTCTGCCACCTGGGAGAAGTAGCCAGTGGGGGGAATGATCTGCCCAGCCACACTGGGCAGAGACTCAGCGAAGAAGGCTGCAATCTGTGGATGAGACAGGGTTCAGTGTGCCTTGCTAACAATATTGGCAATGGCCCTCCCTTTGGGTGCTATGTCCCATCTGAGAGAGTGACTCATCCCCTTGATGCTTCTATCCCCTTGTACTTGGGCTTGCTCCAGTCAACTAAATTCACTTGTACACATCCACCCCATAAACCTTTTCTCCCCAGTCCCTATGTGGTGACCAGCAACAGTCTCACCTCACTTAGAACAAAAACTGGCTTCATCCTCACCTACACCCTCCTGTAATGTGTCTTGCTGACACCCATTGTCTCATGGCTGTCACATCTCGAAGTCTACTTCTTGCCTCAGGCTACTACAGATGCTGGCTTACGGGAGATCTCTTCCTGTCTCTCATACTGCCCTTGGGAAGGTGTTTCAACCTAGACACTGAGGTCATCTATGTCCTGCTTAAAACCCTTTGCCCAAGCTGTAGAGCTGTTTTGGAGGCCTCATGGAAGTAAGTTCTGATGGAGTGGGAAGTAAGTTCTTACTTGTTTGTTTTTTGAGGCAGGGTTTGTCTGTGTAGCATAGGGTTTTATTTGTTTGTTTATTGGTTTTTCAAGATAGGTTTGTCTTTGTAGCCCTGGCTGTCCTGGAACTCTGTAGACTGGGTTGGCCTTGAACTCATAGATCCACCTGCCTCTGCCTCCAGCTCTGTGATGAAAGGTGTGCACCACTACACCCAGCACCAGTGGCTCTTTTGAAGTGTTTGTGAGTACTAGGCTGCCTCACACAGACACAGTAGGCAAGCACTCTACACTGAGCAACGTTCTCACCGCACTTACTCCTCCCCCTTTCTTTGAGAAGAGGAGTCAGTTCCAGCCCTGAATGGCTTCCAAGCCCTATACAGACTACACCAGCCTCAAACTCAAGTGAATCTATCTGACCCTGCCTCCCGAGAGCTGGGGTTAAAGGAATTACTACCACACCAGGACTCCCACTTTTTAAAAAAACTTTTTAAAAAGTTCCAGGGCTGGAGAGGTGGCTCAGTGGTAGTTGCTTTTCCAGAGGACCTGAATTCAATCCCCAGCACCTACATGGTGACTCACTAAAATAATTCTAAAAAATTAAAATTATTTTGTAAAGGGTTTCACTAAGTTGCTCAGGTTGACCTTCATACATAGTTCAGGTAGCTGGAATAATGCCTGTGCCACCAAGCCTGGGCTTGTTCTACTCTTGAACTGTCTGGTTGATCAGCATCTTGTCAGTGGATTTGGCATCCTCTGGACAGATGTGGGTGTGGTTACCTTCCTGCCCTTCTCCTGTGCAATGTTGATCACATGCTTCGCCTCATTGGCATAGGCCTCTGCTGGATTGGGGTGGTCCTTCCGGTAAGGGCCCCGGTAGGTGTCTGGAAGAGGAGCCTGTAGGGAGAGACACTGCCATGTCATCCAGGTTTGGGGTGGAAACTGACCTATGGCGATGTGGGCGTGCATACCACATGGACCCATTCCTTCTGGCCATCCAGGTCCCGGAACTTGTAGGGACTGATGTCAATCAAGGAGCTCAGGTGACCGTGATAAGCACTAGGGAGAAGGAGGATGTGGGCTTAGGCCCTGGTGGCATTTACTCCCTGAATCAGCCCTAACCAGTGTCTACCACTTTTGAAGACAAAACACAGGGTACCAAGCAAGTCCTTGAGCTGGGGATGGGTGCAGGCTTGGAGTAACCTGCAAGGCCACTTGCTGGCATGCCACAATTCTAGTCACCTGACCACTCTGGGTTCAGTTTTTTTCCTCTATAAAGTGGGGGCATAGGGTTACAATACATCTTAAATCTTAACTGGTCTCAAGTGGCCTTTGCTCTCTAATGCTGTGGGGCTGATTTCACTACCAGCTGCTGTTCTCTCAGAAAGATAGGCTGAAGACAAGACGTCCATGGAGCTGTCACTGGGGTCTGGGTTTCATGCCTCACTGGCTTTCCCCCTTAAAGGCTCCAAAGTCAGAGTCTTGCTGACTGACCCTCCCGGACCTGTGGAACCCAGGCTCTGGAGAAGCAGGGCTGGGAGTTAACACTTACTGGTCCAGCACCACCACATCCTGGTGTCCTGTGTACTGACGAGCCAGTCTCAAGGCCAGGTCATTGGCTTCTGACCTGTGACAGAAAATAAGGGAATGGCTTGGAATATCACCCAAGTGCTTTCAATGAGAAGGAGCCCTTACAGCATTGAGAGCATTCTCAGGACACTGTTCCCTTAGCAACATGTAGTGCCTTCTGTGCATCAGGGGGCAGGGCGAGAACAGGAGGCGCCCTCGTAAAACTTACATTATGATACGTTTGGTTTTGTTTTTATTGGGAAACAGGGGTTCTCTGTATAACAGCCCTGGCTGTCCTAGAATTCACTCTCAGTAGACCAGGATGGCCTTGAACTCACAGATCCGCCTGCCTCTGCTTCCCAAGTGCTGTGATTAAAGGTGATTGCTACCACTGCCTAGTGATGACGTATCTTGGAGGCCAAACAAGACAGAGTGATCATTTCTGTTAAATGTCAACACTGGGCACAGGGTGCTGAGGAAGACCCACATGAGGCTCCATGTACATAACAGGGTGTTATGGGGGTGGGGGGAATGTGTTCTAAAACTAGTACATAAAAGCCCTAACTCATGGTGCCTCAGAATGAACTGGATGAGGCCTTTAAACGGGTTAGTTAAAAGGAGGCCCTGGGGCAAGCCCTAGCCTAATCTGATTGATGTCTATGAGAAGTGGCGTAGATTCACAGATATTAAGGGCCTTTGCACAGACCCTGTCAGGTGGGTAAAAAGGCAGTCATGTACCGGTAAGGACAGCTACCCCCAACCCCCCTCCAGCACATAGGCCCTACTGACATGATGGTCTTGAACTTCTAGTTTCTAGAACTGGGAGAAAGCCAGGTGTCGGTGACACAAACCTTTAGCACTCAGGAGACAGAGGCAGGCGGATCTCTGTGAGTTTGAAGCCAGCCTGGTCTACAAAGTGAGTTCCAGGACAGGCTCCAAAGCAATACAGAGAAACCCTGTCTTGAAAATCAAAACAAAACAAAAACAAAACAGTGGCTGCTTTTCCAGAACCTAGGGTTTTCTGTGTTTTTTGTTTCCTTTTGGGTTTGTTTTTGTTTTTATTTTGTGTCCTTTTTTTGGTTGTTTGTTTTGTTTTGAGGGGGTTGCTGGGATCAAAGGTGTGGGCCACCACTGCCAGGCTTTAGCCACTGTTCTTAACTGCTGAGTCATCTCTCCAGCTCCAATATCTGATAGATTTTTGAGTCACCAGCACATGGATGACATTTAATTCCAAGCAGATAGGTGAGATCGCAGAGGGGATAAAAGGAGTGGGACCTGCTCCATAGAACATAGACACCAGAGCCTGGAAGTGAAAGGAAAAAGCATCTCTAGGATGAATGACACCTATCAAACTGCAGAGAAGCAGGTTAGGGAGCCCAGAGATCACAGGACTTGGCAACATAAAGTCACTGGAATCCACACAGAAGGAACTTGGTGGAGGGAGATAACAGGGACCACCTTCCCTTTCTTTATAGAGAGGTCCCAGTCTGGCTCTTCCATCTCCTAGCCAGCTCCTCTCTCCCTGCCCTCTCCCACCTTTTAGTACTGTGGTACTAGAGATGGAAAGACCTCATGACACTAGGCAAGTGCTCTACCAAGTCATGCATCTCCCTATCTGCTATGTTCTTCAGGAGACTGAAGGCTGTAAGAGGCAATGACGCCTGTGATTGTGCCTATACCCAAATGCTGTTTGTTGGGATGTTCTTTAGACTACGGTGGTCAAGTTCCTGATTCTGCATCACAGCCATTCCAAGTGCTCACACTAGCCACTTGTGCTCCCCATCATGATAGCATCACCTCCAGATTAACACCCCTTGGGGGTGGGGCTAGAGAGATGCTCAGCTGTTAAGAGCATCGGCTGTTCTTGTAGAGGACCAATTTTCAGCCACACATGTAAGCTCACAACTGTCTGCACTGCAGAGATCTAAACACCCCTGGCCTCCACAGGCATCAGGCATGCATATGATTCATATATATATATATATATATATATATATATATATATATACACACACACACACACACACAAACACATATTAAAAACAAACATCAAGCCAGGTGAGGGCGCACGCCTTTGATCCCAGCACTCAGGAGGCAGAGGCAGGTGGATCTCTGTTGAGTTTGAGACCAGCCTGCCCTACAGAGTGAGTTCCAGGATAGTCTCCAAAGCTACACAGAGAAACCCTGTTTTGAAAAAAAAAAACCAAAAAACCAAAATAAACAATAATAAAAAACATCGAACACTCACACATATTAAAAACAAACATCAAAAACACTAATCACCACTAGAAAAAAACAAAACCAACTCTCACCCTAATTCCCTATAGCTTTCTAGTGGTCTAACAATAAACACAGCTTCCCCCACTTGGCTAAGGGGCTGCTCACTGTTCAGTCTTTCCTCCTCTTTGTTGAGTCACTAAGCATGCCTTGCCCCTTCATGTTATAGGGCCTTGGCCCAGGCTGTGCCAGGTGGTGACCAACCTTGACAAGAGTACTTCCCCCAGAGGGACTTCCTCCTCCCTTAGCTACTACCTTAGCTACCTCAGGAGCTCTTAGCATCTCCACGGAGGCACAGTCAAGTCAGGACCCTCGCTGCTTCTAGGTCTCATTGCTCTGTATTCTTGCTCTAGAAAAGGACCCTCCCATAATTGCCTATTTCTCTGAAGAACCATTTGATGTCCCTTCAGCTTGCTGAGGCACACCTGAGGGCTGAATCCATGAGGAAGGAAAAAAAAAAAAAAGAAATCCATGACTTCCCTAAGCCCCAGTGTGCCTGCAAGGGAGGCTGTGGTGTGCTCTGCTCTACAGAGCAAGAACTTGGAGCTTACAGAAAAAGCTCTGGAGTGAGAGCCTACAACCAGGAAGCTCACAGGCCTCTCCCTGAAGAGGGCTCCACTCCCCTGGCAGCTTTCATGCTGCACCCACATGACTGACTTTCTTCTTTGGACTTGTTTTCAACAGGGCATGTTGGTCACAGTTCACTTACCCAGAATTCAGGAAATAAAACACAGAGAGCTCCTTCGGCAAGGTCTCTGACAGCCTCTGGGCATAGTCCACAATGTTGTCATGCAGGTATCGGCTGTTGGTGTTGAGCACCAGGTTCTGTTCATGTGCGGCTTGGACCACGCTAGGGTGGCAGTGCCCGACTGCAAGAGGGCCACCTCTGTCACATGGCCGGCTCCATGCAGCCAGCCCCACCAGACCCCCCTCAGCTCCATCTGCAAACCCATTCAGGGCACATGAAGTTAATGATGCAAGGTGGAAAGAGGAAGGGGAATTGGTGGGGGTGGAGGAGTACAGATGATGCTCTGGAATGGAAGGTCTCAAGAGAGATTCCAGTAGAAGGAAAAAATGGTTTTGTAGAAACGTCTAGAAAACCAGTGTTTTTAGAGAGGTATCTTGAGACCTCAGGCTGGAGGGGAATGGTCTGAGGGTTAGTAACAGAGAACAGAGTGTTTCCCACGTGCCAAGCATGGTCAAAGCAATTTAGCAGTATTTACACAATTATCTAAAACACCTGAGTCAAACTAGGTGTCACTAGTTGAGTTCTGTTGTTCAATGAGCAACAAGGCTCAGAGCACTAAGTAACCTTCTTTTTCTCTCTGCAAAGCCCATTGTCCTGCTGTGCAGACCAGGCTGGCCTTTAACTCACAGAGATCTACCTGCCTCTGTCCCTTGAGTGCTAGGAGAGTCCTGGATTTTTACCTTTATCTGCCTCCAATGTGCCTTCTAACCCAAAGCCTTCTTTTCTGCCATCAGCTCTGGTAACCCTGATTCGCTGAATTCATACTTAAGTTTCCTGTAGTCCCCTGCAACAGTCATTATAGGACTGATCCTGTTCTCATGATCCTGCACAGGGTCAAGGTCATGCTTCATTGGTGGTCATGGCTGGGCAGGCTCCATGTCCAGCTTGTGAGGTCCAGATAGAACTTGGACCCTGATGCCTGAACCTCTCTGCCCTCCTTCTTAGTTTAGCATAGGTAGGGTGTGAGCCTTTTCTGGTTCCTTCACAAAGATCAGGTGGTTCTGTTCAACCCAGGCTGCCAATCAGATTTACAGCCTCGGCCTCCTCTTTTGCCTCACCGAGAGTGAGGCTCGTACTAACCATGAGCCACGTTGTTGACACAGTCCAGGAACTCTCGCCCTTGCTCATCATACAGGTACTGCCCTTGGCTTCGGACAATCTTAACAGGGTCCTCAGGAAAAAAGAGTCTGCAGGAAGAGCTGTGGGGACAGGCAAAGAATGGATAGCCCTGTCTAAAGACCGGAGTGGGGACTACACTCATTACAACCTTCTTCACTCCTTCCCAGTTTCTGGAAAGGAGAATAGCTTGCCTCCTTATTCCTACGAGGAACAGGACGGGCAGAAAGTTGTTGAGACAAAATCTCACTTAAGCTTTGGTGGCCCTCTCAATTTTGCTTGCACATATACCAGTTCCTCCGGTCCTGGTGAAAGAGGCATCAGAATGGCTTCCCAAAGAAAAGCCCCATGTGAGGAGCCCATCTTAGCCCTCAACATTCCTTGCCATCTCAGGGGCCCCACTGCCCCTGGCTGGGATGGCTAACTCTAGCCACCGCCTCCTGTCCACGTGGAACCGAGGGTCCCCTCACAGGCCAAGAGCAGACATTCTCTTAACCTTGCCTGTGGCCCAGCTCCTCTAGCAGGCAGGCAGCTGCCAGGGTAAAAGCCCGCCCTTTGGGGCAGGGACGTCCCGGAGCCTCGGCGTGGGCCACGGCCGCTTCTAGTAAGCTGAGGCTGAGAGAAGCGGGGAAGACAGGGGCGAGCGCTGTGCGCGCCTTCCAAGCCCACACCCGGTACCTGAGCAGCTGGCGTCTCAGGTTTAGAGTGGCGGCCTTGGCGCGCGGATCTGCGGCCATGTCGCCACGCTGTCAGTCAGGGCCCAGACGCTGCGCGCTTGGCCCCGCCTCCTACGTTAGTTCTGGTCGGGGCTTCAGTGCTGGCCCCGCCCCTAGGAGCTCCCTTCAATTATTCAAGCAACCTGCGAGCAAGCTCGTTTGTGATCCACGCCACCGCACGGGGATGATCTAAGCTAGTTCAGGATCGTCCCATGCTCTTCTCTCCCACTCCTGAGATTTCCCTCCCAGGAACGTGCCGCCCGGTTGAACGGGACTCTGGACTGCGGCTGAGCAGGCCCAAGTAGGTGTCCTCTCTACGCTCAAAGCGTGAGGGTAATGGTGTAAGAACGCAGACTTTCCCAACCCGGTGCAGGAAAGATCGGGGCCACTGATGAGACAGACCACGGAGATCACTAGAGAGTTTTGCTAGGCACAGGCACGGTGAGCTTGACATGTCGATACAAGAAGAGAATCTTGCAGTGGGCAGATAGGAAGAAGGTTGGGGAACTTAAGAATACTTCCCTATGTACTGTCCAGGAAACAGGCCCCCAAAAGAAAGGGTTTTGCCCCCAGACATGCTCACTGTAGGTTTGCTGCAGAGGCAAGATTAAAGCAAGGCCTCCAGAACTCCTAGCACGTTGAATGATAAGAGGCCTCTGCAGTCAGAGGACTGGGAGAGCGGAGATTCTTACCCCAAGGGTTGGGCGCTGGGACTGATTACCTTAATGAACCCTGGGCAAAGGTTTAGGACTGCCCTTCAGCAGGCTGGGGCAGTCTTGTCCACAAGCCAGCTCTCTGCCCGTTATCCAATAACTCATCTCTTCTCTTCCCCACAAGTCGCAAAAATGCTTACTGCACATATTAAAGAACAATCTTGTATTCTTCCATTTCTTGTTTTTATTGTGGTAAAATATACATAAAAACAAGTTATTTGAAGGGTACAATTCAGAGGCATTAGTACATTCTCACTCCCAGCCACAGAGCTCTTTCACCTTCCAAAATTGAGTGGAGTTGCATGTTTTTAACCATAAAACTACCGGAGTCCATCTTCCTGCTCAGAAAAGCCCCTTCCTTTCTGCCCCTGGCCCCATGCTAAATGTCCTCTGTCCATTTTCTGGCATCTGACTTTCGAGGGGACACTGGAGGCCAGGAGGGCACAGTCTGAGAGGAGAGAGGGCCTGAGCAAGGCTTGGATGTAGAGAGGAGCTTGGTGGTACAAGCCAGTAATTCCAGCACTTGGGAGGCTGAGTCAGAATTACAAGTTAGAGGCCAGACGAGGCTATATATTGAGACCCGTTCTCAACAAGCAAACAAACATACCCCAGCCCACCCCTTGACTCTAGGGCAGGATTTTCTCAGCTGGCTTTCCTAGTGAGCAGCTAGGACAGTAGTGTCTAGGATTGTTTCAGAGGCATGCTAATGTTGACTCTGTCCACTGAATGTCAGGAGTGTCCCCCAGTCCTGGGATAACTCAAAGCCTCCTCTAAGAAGGAGATGGAGTAAATCAGCTTCTCTCAAGCCTCAGATCCATCTGTCCAGGGGGACAGCCATCCTTTAGCTGTCAAGGAACAAGAACAATCAAGGACTCAATACAGACTCTTCTCTTCCACAGTTGTATGACTTACAGAGAGCTGCTCCTTTTGCCAGAGAGACCCAGGGCCTCTCAGTTCTTGAGGTTCATTGGTGAGGCAGGGTATTCTCCAGTCTCATCTGGGACCCTGAACAGGCCATCCTCTCAGTCTGACTCCAGGCTGGCATAGGACTTACTGGTTTCACGTGCCCATTTGCAGGCCACAGGGGGGCAGCAACAGGCCAATAACGGTCCATTGCAGCCAGGCTGAGAAATGACAGGGCTCTACTTACTGTCCACCTATTGTCAAGGGACTGCCTAGCAGATTCCATGCATTGTTACACAATTCTGAAAACAAATTAGGTGACTTCCAAGACCATGGGTTCAATCCTGAGCCTGTCACTCCAGTCTGGCTGTGCATTCCTAAGCAGATGATTACCCACTCTGAGCCTCACGTTTCCTATCTGTAAAATGGATGTAGTGACACCTACCACTGCAGCCCCTCTCCTTGCAGGACTGATGAGGGGATCAAGTTCTTAGGTGGAAAGAGGAGTGCAATGCTAACTATAGCGTATGGTGGGATGGGGAGGCTGTGCTGCATCTCCAAAGCAGACATTGACACCAGTGAGCCACGTTTTGGCTCACTGCATCTGTCTTTTCTTTATTTCTGTTCTTGGAGGAAGGAAACCAGAGGCACTAACACAGCCTCCTGCATTTTTTTCTAGATGCAGAGAAAGAATGTGGTTCTGTCATCTATGGAGATGGGCACATTTGCTGGGCATCTCTTCAGGTTGTTCTAAGGAAGGACATGCACAGGGAAGACATGGGGCCCTAGGCAAGGCTGTGGTTACTACTCAGTCTTGGAGTGGATACAGTGAAGACAGCCAGTCATAGGTACTTTGGGGTGTCTGACCTGTCCTAGGCTCTCTGTGTTCCACAAAGATGAATCATACTGAACCACATCTGAATTTTGAACATTACTGTCACATGCTACAGATGAGGCATTATTTAAGATGCTATAACAAAGGCTAAGAATGTAGCTTGGTTGGCCAAGTGCTTGCCTAGCATGCATAAAGCTTTAGGTTCGATTCTCAGCACTGAAAAAACAAAACAAAACAAAACAAAAAAACCCAAACAGGAATAGTGGTACACAACTGTTATCCCAGCACTTAGAAGTAGAGACTGGAGGGTCAGAAATTTAAGGTCTTCTTCAGCTACATAGTGAGTTCAACGTTAGCCTGGGCTACATGAGAGCTGGTTTTATTTTTATTTTTGAGGAGCTACAACAAGTTCTCCTCTTCCATATTTTCTACTTAAATGTGACATGAACACTTTGCTCACTGAGGGGTGAATCTGTCTTCTTCCCCTTCAGTTGGGATGAACTTCTGATTCTGGCAGGAAGTGGCAGCATATGACTTTGAAGGCTTTGTCATATGAGGTGACACAGCTTTCTAAGAATCCTGCTGCCATGCTGTGAGGAAGTCAAGGCCATTCAGACAGGCCATAGGTATGTAGGTGTCATGGCCACTGGGATCCTAGCTGACAGGCACCATCACCAGATGAGGAAGCATTCAAGAGAGCCCCACCCAGCTGGTTCTCTGAATCCTTGGAACTGAGAGAATGGATATTTTGAGGACAACAAGTTTGGAAATGTCCTTGCTTAGGAAGCACAGCAGAAGGGTAGACAGGGACTTAGTGACATGATGTGACTGGTCCCAGGGCATGTCTATAGCCTCCTATCTTATAACACTGAACTATATCCTCTGGTTTCTAGGATGACTCTGCCCCTAGAGAAAGCCCCGTTTCTTCTTCAGCAGGAACCACCAGGATAAACTCAGCTAGAAGTGACCACGGAAGTCTACAAGGACAGGTACAACCAGACACACGTGTGGTTTTATTACACACAGCACCTTTACACAGACAGGGATGTGAGGCTGTGGATGCAGCGGGTAGCTAGAAACCTTTTGTGGAAGTGTTGAAGGCCCTTCTCAGAGGGCAGGGGTTTCTGTCACAGGCATTTTGCCCAGGCTTGCAGGGACCAGCCTTTGGGTTCACGGTGTCTGTACCACCTATTAGGCGGCCAGTTTTCTGCCAGGCTGACCAGAGTTCTAGGTGGGAGATTTGGGGCCACTGAGACCCAAGTTCTGACCAGGAGGCTGGTCTCCTCAGGGCTGACAAAGTCCCCTTTCTGTTCCTGCTCTGATGAGGTGATGAGGAGACTGGAAGTAGCAACTAGTACATCTGGGTCTCTTTACCCTACAGCCAGAGGTCACTGAGCTGCCTGCAGCTGGCTCCACACTGAGGTATTCACAGAGCCCTGCCATTTCCAAGGCCTGAGGATACATGCTCCTGTGACAAAGGTGGCTTCTGGAGGACTGCTGAGCTTGGGTAGAGCAAGGCCCTCTTGGGGGGGTCTTTCCATCACCTTCTCCCCAAGTGCTGGACTTGAGGAATCTTCACCTGCCCCATTGAAACAGGGTCCCAGTGCAGCTACCTGTGGCATGGTCCAGAGGCAAGAAGGTGCAGCAGTTGTCCAAAGGGGTCTTGTTGGACATTGAAAAGTTGGGGCAGTGGGGTGTCAGGGAACAGTTGTGTGTCTCTGCTAATCAGGTGATTGCAGGCCCAACCTGGAGTCTGTCCAGCCTCACCTGAGCCAGGCGTTTTCACCTTCGTCATCTTCTCTAGGAAAGCCAGGCCCTGCCGGGGGTGCCCTTAAGCACATTTCCCCACAGCGGCCTGCCTGCTTTCCTGCCGGCTTCCTGTGCAGGTTGTCCCAGGGCTGGTTGGCACACTCTTGAATGTTACAAGGCCACAGTTGGCGCATCCCATAGAGGATATCAATATATTACTGTTCTGTTTTTACACAAGTTAAAGACATCCAAACGGATCTGTACAGGTTGGGAGCCATGTCTGAGGATCACTGGAAAAGGAGGGGGAGGTG